TGTCTAGTTATCAGAGAGCGAGTAAACCGTATAACAATTCACCCTAAATCAACTATTAGCACTTTAATTTTCACCACGTTGGTCTATTTTTCCTATAGTTTACAATGAATCGAACTGATGCACTCTTACACCACGATTCACTTTGATAATGACTGACTAAGTCAAAAATACATGTATACTGTCATCATAAAGATCAAAATAATCCCTGATTATGTGTAGCTCAGTTCTCAACGAAAATAATTGTATCTAATTTTACAAAGCCCAAACAGATTTATAAGATGTCTGTTCCTCACTGTTCTCAAAACTGTTGGTCAAATATCCTGGTTAGAAAAATAAAAGACTTTATTTATGTGGATAGTTAATTTTCTGCAGCATCCATGATTTATTTTGTTTTCATAATAATTTTTCTACTTTCCTCTGAACAAAACAAATATAATTTTTTTGTAAATACACTTACACACTAGTTTACACAACTCGAAAATTTTCATATATCCTCGTATATCTTCTAAACTTCGTATAGAGCTTTGCATCAAGAACTATGGGGGTTGTGGGTTTGGTAATGCCAGCTCTTGTGGGTGCTTCAGTCTTTGGCAGCATAAATGGTGAGGTATTCTCTATTTCCCGGTAAGCGTTTTACCACTTTTGTCCTCGTTTTTGTTAAATTCACTGTTAACTATTATTCTATAAACATTCCACAGTTTATTGAAACACTTGCTTCATTATCAATAGTCTCCATTTGTCGCTGTATCTTTGCATAATAATATACCCTAGTAAACAAAGTTCATTACGAAACCAATTTGGCGAGTTTGCGCTGTAAATACCGAATATTTTGACAATTCGAAGAGATCTTAGCCAGATTAACCGTAACTGGAATTAGGACGCTAGTAAGGAACTATTGTTTTCCGACCAGAAGTGATTGGGGTCAACGACAATGCAGGAATTTAGTGAACTTGACATAAAGTAGTGGGAAACATTACTTTTAATAACCAAGTTTTCCTTTTTCTTCACATTTTACTCGGCTTCAAATGCTCAATTAAATATCAGTAATAATGAACGAACATAGATGTTTTTGGGGGATTTATTTAGCCATTTATTGTTATTTTCAGCTGAATGCAGTTACCCCCCGAACCTATTTTAGCAATAGAAAACAATTTGGTTGAAAGCAACTAATTCTGAGATCAATACTTTGCGTCAGCTTTCCGGTTAACTGTTATACGAATAACGAAAGCTCAGATGTCATTTGGTGAACTAACCTAACTATCACCTTAGAGATGACTGTGAAACGACAAACGTTTTATATATTTGTAAATTACTGAAACGGTCTTTATGGCATTAATTATAGTAATAACAATCTCCCTCTTGAGTAAATCTTGAAGACAGTAAACACGACAAACTGAAACAGATTGTAGACCTGATACCAAGGACTCGTATAAGAAATTATAATTAGATATCATCTGAGGTAAATTTGTCAAGGTATATCTACTCTTTATCTTTTCAACCTTGACGACTTCTGCATTTAAGTACGTCAGGTATCTCTGACTTCCTACTTGGATATATTCTAATGAATATACTGTGCACAATCCATTCCACATCTCAAATACAGTGTTGCTTACTAGCAGACCTTCACTTACGCTTAAGTCCAATCACAGATAATGACAGTTAATGGCACCAATCATTTCTCTTAGCAGCTTCGCCAGTTCTAGTGACTACTGAAATACTAGTATATATGTAATGAAAGGCGTTATTACATCTACCAAATGTGTGTATGGGTATTGAATTAAAAAGGAATACAAAGCTGATTTGTGCAGTGTTTAACACTAAATCTCTCATTATGTGACAATGATAAGTGACCGTTCAGTTAGTATAATTTATTGTGGTTCAGGATGTTTAATCACGTATTTCTTTGACACATTGGTCGCTTCTGAATTCATAATTGGTTGAGGTTGTTAATATTACGAATGGGTTATTGTATCCTCAAGGTTCATCCCAATATTCCAGACATTTTTATTATCTATCTTTCTCGAGATTTTAAATATTTAATAACTCTCATTCATGGAAACTTTCTGATATCTTGTTTATCTCACTTTGCTTCTTTCCCATTTAATTAACTTAAGCTTTATCACAATGTTGCAATGGATATTAATTAAAACTTGTGATGTTATTAATAATCACACAAAAACTTATCAAGTTTATTTAATATCTATCGGAGAATTTTTAACTTTTCATTGAAAGACTTCACAGTCAAATAGTGACAATTTTTTTTATCTTGTTCAAACTTCTTGTTTTTAAGTTTTGATAGATAAAAACATTCAATTGTCCAGTTTGAATTAGACAATTGTATGTAATACATACAAATTAATCAAGATAATTAAGAATAACTTAGATTAAGCAAATGAATCATTCTTGTTATACTTCAAAGTATTTAGTTTAACTTTTGCTAGAAAAATTGGAACAAACGGAATACACCCATTAAGACAATCAGACTGCATCTTCTCTGTATTGCCGAAGCAATAGCCATACATCTGGAAAAACCAGAACTGTATGTGCAAAAGAGACTGTTACAACCTCTTCTTCTACCATGGTCTTAATGTATTGAAATTTTCTCTTTCTCATACTCTGATTCCTTTACAGCCATCTGCTTCACCTTCCATCTTCCCTTTAAATCTTCTACCCCCAACTGGTTTGTTTTTATTTCTACGATCATTCGGATTACATTTCATCTGTGTTTCAACATTTTATTTTATCATGCTGAGCCATGATAATTTCCTTATCTATTTTTCGATGAATACTTAAGCCATTAACAATCAAACGATTATTAAATTTTCCTTGTTTTATAAAAAAAAGTCTTTTTTAAATACCTTTGTTTATTTAACCTCATTGTTACCATGTCTAACAGAAGTTTATTATCAGTATTATTATCATCCTGTAAAAGTAAGAATGTATTGAGATTTAGATGGTGGTTGGAGGTAGTCAACAGGAAACCCTGGATCCGGGTTTCGTGCTACTTGGCACTCAGTCCTACAGGAGGTTAGTCACGGTTCGGATAGCTCAGTGGTAACGTCTCTGACTGTGGAGCTGGGTGACACGAGATCGAATCCGCCAGGGAGCACCAGTTCCCTCAAGATTACAGGTACACCTTGCTGACGAGTGCCAAGTAGCACGAAACCCGGGTCCAGGGTTTCCTGTTGACTACCTCCAACCACCATCTAAATCTCAATACATAGTGCCCGCAGTGTCGAGTCACCTAGACTGGTGGCCACATTGCAACATGATCGATAGCATTCGATCTGCACTAATAAGGACTAGACAAGCATGACATTGATCACCACCCAGTGATCAATCAATTGTGAGTAAGAATGTATATTTGCGATTGTACAGCTTTGAAAATGAATTCGCCGAAAAGAGAACTCTTCGCTGAACTAATCTTATTTAAAAAATTGAAACATCTATGTTTATTCAATTTCATAAATATTTTGGTATTCATTTTAGACTAGCATTTACTGCTGGTGAAGAAGGACATATGCCTGCTCTTCTTTCAATGGTTAATATTGACCGTTTAACTCCAATTCCATCTATATTAATTGTAGTAAGTCAGTCTTTTTAAATTATCACTTTCTCTACAACATCAATATTCCATATTGTTGTGATAATAGATTTCAAGAATTTTTCTAAGATTATATTTCCCTAGGTTAATAAGATTTCTATCCTGTGTAAGACGACAGCCTTTAAAATAATTAATTTAGGCATTTTTCTTATGATAAAGCTTAAAATTATATTTTCCTATACCGTACTACTATGTTTTCACATTCTATTTGCTCCCCATAGTTGTGAAGGTAAAATATCATCCGACGGTATTATCTAATGCTTCAGGAAGTTGCTGTTAAACTTATTTGAAACGGCCTAAGATCAGTTATATTCATTGATATTTTATCCTTCCAAGAGTCTCTAATGTAATATTATTCTATACTTTTTGTCTCCTGATTTCTTTGTTTTTGGATTTTCTTTCTATACTGACACAAAACTAGACAACTTTAACTGACACATATTTGTGCAAAGTGTTAAGTAATTTACGTTGAATATCCATGTATCTACTTCTGGGGTACTAGCATGACTGTACTATAAGTAGATGGTTTGATTTCCATGTTAGTTAAGATTTGATATCAAGTATGCCAATCAGTATTTTTTTTATTGTTCTCTGTACACTGCATGTAAGATTTCTCGTCAGTTGAATATTCAGCCCAAAACCAACTATTTATGTCTTCATTTATTTGCATAGGTAACTCTATCTGTAGTTTTTCAACTGTTCGATGACATACTTTATTTGATCGAGTTAACGGGATTTGCTTTCTCTGTAATATCTGCGATGGCTGTTTGTAGCTTACTCTACATTCGTCGTACAAATCCTCAAATGAATACATCGGGATTTAAAGTAATTTATTCCTTTGTTCGTAAATTTAGCTCAACAATTATTCAGTTGCTCGACAACTTAAATGCTGAACTGCCTTTTAATCACTACATGTTCTAGGTTTTATATTATTTATTATCTTACCATAACACTAATATATCCCCAACTTTATTATATCATAGTTATCCTGTACAAATTAACATTTAAAGGATAATCTTTATGAAATGCTACAATAATAGCTATCAACTAAGATAAGATGAATTAAGAGAATGGAAGGAGTATATAATTAAAGCAAATAAATGTGAAGTAAACTTTTATGAGGCGGCTTTCAGCAACTATCTGTAAGATAATGATATGCGGAATGCTTATCATGGTTTTATTATTTCTTGTTAATAAGGTTAATGTTTACGTAAACATGAAACCATGCTAGCTAAGGTAATAGTCCACAATTCATTGATTATTTAAAAGTACTATCTGAAATAAAATCTAATTATGTGTTTAAATGTTTTATGTTTCCCTTATTATCATTGATTATTAACATTGATTAAGCAGTATTATAAAGGATAGTATGAGATCAAGCGATTTTGCAAAACTATTAGGATGATTCAAGTAATCGAGCTGATTATAGGCTCACTAAACTAAATCCTAAAATTTAAGGCAAACTAATTTAGAAAATTAAAATTCCTGTCCAAGCGATTAACTAAAACTCGTCTGTATGCAAACTATTCAATCAAAGTAAATATGACTTATTAGCAGGAAAATAATGAATTTAGGACAGAACTAAGCATCTCAAAATAACCAAATACATTATCACTTCAGTTTATATCATAATGATTATGCATCATTTTGAAAGGCGTTACCCGGTATTTTATACTCTAAAATCTAAAAATTACTATTTATATGCTAGTTTGTGTTATATTTCTAAAATGTATTTTGGATTATTCAAACATTGAACCAATTATTCTTAATTATTTATCATTTAAATTTTTTCAGTTACCAATTGTTTTTCCTGTGTTGTATTTAATTGTGGACATCGCTATTGGAATCCTTGCAATCTATCAAAAGCCGACAGATTGTGCAATTAGTCTTGGAGTAATGTTACTAGGTGTTCCAGTTTACATTTTTGGGGTGGTATGGAAGAACAAACCAAGATCAATTAGATCTTTAATATGTATGTTATTTTCTTTGACTTTATAATAACTCAGTATTTACTAGGTACGCTTTACATCATAAAGTTTTTAAAAAAAACATGAATTTAAACCCACTGTTTTTATATAATTTTTATCACGAAACTAACATTTCTCCATTAGTGTAAATTAATAGTGTTCATATGTATTTCAGAGAGCTGAATTTGTCAACTTAATTTTTGTTATTTGGTTATATGAATAATTCCACAGATGTCTTAGAAATATTGCTGGCGTCTGCTGGGATCACAGGGTAAGTAATAGTGAGGTTAGACACACGGTATTAGGTAATGATGGTAAATCAGCTGATGAGGTTATGAATCTTCATCGACTGAGATGGTTGGGCCAGGTGTTACGTATACCTGAATACCGATTACCACGACGTGCAATGCTATCCGGTATTGGAGATGGTTGGAAGAAAGTTAGGGGCGACCAAACCAAAACGTGGCATCAGTGCTTGAAGTCACTAACTTCTAGTCTGAGCCATGTTGGTAGATGCAGACTACTTGGTTGGGGTCCGCGTGACTGTCGTAACCAATGGTTGGAGACTCTTGGTGACATGGCTCAGAATCGATCACTATGGCGTTGGTGTATACGCTCTCTGTCTTCTCTTAAACTAAGAGATTAAAATCGCTTCATATCTTTCTTTCTACGAACCAATTTTTTCTTCTTGTACTATATCTCTATATGCAATCTTTCTCTTATATATTACCACCTTTGACCTAACCACTGCTATGAACTCGGTGTTCATCTTGTGTGCTGATGCGGTATGGCAACCTGGACCGATGCACATATGTGCCTGGTCCTACGTTGTAGCTGACTGACTGACTATATGAATAACTAACCTGAGTATCAGTGTAAATCTAAATAATCTTTCACTATCAAATAATTACCCTGGTGTTAGGAAAAAGAGTTCACGGCGTTTCTGTAACAACCATCGGGGGATAACTCTACATCCGATCTCATCCAAACTGTTGGTTTCCGTCATACTTCGTAGATCGTTCAAAACCCGAGAAAGATTGACTTGAGTGGAGTAGGCTGGTTTTCGCTGTAGTCGAGGATGTAATGATCATATCTTCACCCTCTGCCAAATGTTAGAGCACCGTCATACTTATCACAGGTGGACAATCATAGTGTTCCTTGATATTGGGGCCGCCTTCAATTTGTTGGACAGGACTGTTCTCTAGAGTTGTCTAGTGAAAAAGGGTGTGTCTGAGAGGTTTATTAACATCTTAAGAGCCCTATATACAAACACCTCGGGTAGAGTGAGAGCATGCAACCACCTCTTTCCACTATTCCATTCAACCAGTGCGGTTAATTATGGTTGCCCAATCTCACGATTCCTCTTCAACTTTGCCATCGATGACGTTCTGGAAACAGCTCTCATGGATGTAGGTAATGGTAGTGTGAATCTGTTGACATCCAGTAGCAACATCATGTTAATAATGCAAGTGGTTCGGGATTGTGTGTTCGGGCACAGCGACGATTATTTAGTTGGTGTTACTATCTTGAAACATCGACTTCGGTGGCTTTGACATGTTCTACGAATGTCATCCCAGAGAATTCCACATTATGAATTATTTGCCGACTCTGGAACAATCCTGTTGTAAATTTCTTTTACTTTCTTGATAAGAAATGAACGGAACTTCTTTAACTGAAATAATTCTTTCTGGTTGTATTTTTGTTAACTGAATTGCCTCTACCATTATTATTATTTCACTCTCATACACTAATTTCTGTTCGCTATTGTTCCCCTTTTTATTATATGCTCTTTACTTTCTCTATCTCTTCACATTCTCATTGTTATTATGTGACGCTTATGTATTTGGTGCCCCTTTGTACCAATACTTTTGTGGTAAAACAAATAAATAAGGAAAACTTACACATATCTACATATTGATGATCGTATATTCCAACTCTGTTTCAAATTAGATAAATCTTTTATTTGGGTTTTTTCATTTTAGTTTGCTTATAACGTTGACTCGACTACGTTTTTGCGAACCCCTACAATTTTATCGAATAAAAGCAACGTTGTCTTTAACTAATTAACCGCTAACATCCGAACTGGTTATATGTAGAGTAGCAAGTACTCACTAATTTAAGCCTTACTATTCGTGGGGATTTCAGGCATTATCAGTTGGCACTTACGTGATAAAGTGTATTTTTGCAGAAAATTGATTGCTTGAGTAAACTAAAAATCACTATATATTTTGAAGCTTCACTGATTAAACTGATAAAGAATCAAAGGGTCTACCCAACTAGACTTAACATCTTTGTATACTGTTAACTTAATCAGACAGAAAATTACAAAGTAAAAATTCAAGAAAAACATATGCGGCTATTCCTATTGTATAAACTACGAATACTACCTAATAGTATGGGAACGAGTGAATATCGTTTGCAATCCGTCGGTTGGGAAAAACGGTCGCAACTCAGGTTCATCCAAAGCTATCATCTGCTAGCCTGGAAGTAGCTCATATACTTTGGTATTGCAAAAAGTGAATATAACCACACAGTCGTTTACGATAAGTCCATGGGATAGATGGACAGTTGTTTCTGATAGAGACATGTATATAGCTACAGAGCTTAAAAAAAGTATAGGGATACTTTTAGGGATCAAAATTATACTTTTCTTTACAGGGTGATGAGTTTCAACAATTTGACTGGATTTCCACCATTTACTCTCAAATGGATATCTGAGTACGTAAGATTATTTCTTGTTCCCCGGTGGTCAATTCTCAAAAGCTTCAAATTTCTCTTTAATAAATCATATATTGTTGCGTGTAGTCTAACTTTGTAATATCATTGTGTGCTTTATTGGACTAGGTGTTCTGTAAATAACAATTATAACTTTTTTTCAGTCAGACTAATGGATTTGATTCTTTCGATTGAAACTTTTAGCTTGCAGATGAATATCTAACAACTGGTATCCGACAAGAACAAAGCTGCATTGGATATGAAAACTTATTACTATAATTATCAAATGAGCTTATATACTTGTTAAAAACCGAAGTCTATTTTAATTCAGATTATTATTGGCATATAGATCAATACTACTTGCTATTAAATAACTCATGCAACAATAAAAAATACTCCAGTACAAATAAATAGGATTTATCCATTAATTTCTTTGATAACTTTCTAAAGACAATTATTCTATTTGAATTACGAAATTAAGAGGACAAAAAGCGAATATCTGGCGCTTTTACAGGGTTAGTAGATATTCCTGATTTTAAACCAGCGGTGCACATCGGCTCCAGGGTCCTGAAGGAATAAATCTTTGGTCACCGGCTATCATGGGACTTCATCTCCTGACATTGCTCTACTGTCCTGTAGATCAGACGTTTAAGTAGAAGGCTCTGGGTGTGGCCCCTACAAAAAACCACCTGTTTCGATTTGGGCACTCGAGCACTATTCCAAGTCCCACACAAATCTAATGATTTATATGGTGTATATCTATTTGATGCCTCCTTGTACCAATATTTATGTGTTTAAATAAATAAAATAAAATTTGAATGAAAAGTTTTCCTACTTTACTACAATTCATTTTTATTTTCCATTATCTTTTAGATGGTGTCACAATCACTTTCCAAAAAGTTTTAAAAGTTGTTGAACAAGAAAAAGTCTCTGAAATATTAGAATTAGATGGTCATTTAAAATCTGTTGGTGATGAACTAGAAATATCATAAAAACATGATGATAATAATAATAATAAACATTAAATAAAAAGCTGCGCTTTATTCTTGTTCCCATTCAACAAAACAAAGTACATTTTATTTCTATATCTATGAAATTTTCTATTATGATTCCATCATGAACATTTTTTTTAAAAATTAAATTATTTTCATTATTCTTTATTATTATTACTACTACCTGAATTATTTCTGCTGAATATCATTGCTTCTTTTCTTTTTCTTTTCTTTTTTAAAAGAAAAGAAACAATATTGCGCCTAAAATTACACTTGAAATTTATTCAATCAAAATATTGTTTCTATCATTTGTAAATTGAAGGTAACATTTTGTTTTAGTTGTTTGTTGGTTTGTTTGTTTGTTTTCATTTTTCCATAGAATGCAATATAACACATTGTGCTTATTCATTTGATGTTGTATTGCAAAGAGATTTCTTCGTTGTTTTCTTTTATTTTTAAAGACTGATATTCAATTTGTTAACATCTTCTTTGCCAGTTTTATTATTATTTTATCTTTGTGAATTCTTATTTTTTAATCCTAGATAGGTACGTTTTTCTTATTCTTTAAATGATTCACCTTATATGATCAGTAGAATAATTTTCTTTTCTTTTTAAGAAAAAGTTTTTTGTATATCCTGAATTGCTTTGATATAGATCCTTTTTAATGGATTGCAAATTCATGTGTATGTATATAGTTTATACACAAAATTCTTGATAATTTTGAATTAATAACTAAATATATTTGGCTATTTGTAAAGATTTATTCAAGTTTATGATTAGCTAATCATTGATTAGTAACTAACGACTTGTTTGTCTGTCCTCTAAAATCTCTGGTATGGACGAGGATGAGGAGAGTTAGCTCTACCTCTTCGAATACTCTCACATAGCCACGCGTATACAACCACTTCCAGACACGTCATACTCATTGCTTTCTCAGAGCATTACTTTTGTTTACGAAATTGAGAAGACACAAAGCGATTGTCCGACGCTTTAACAGGGTTAGTGGACACTGAATAACCACCTAGTGGAGTTGGAAATCCCTCTTTCTAAACTAATGGTTCACATGGGCTCCAGGATCCTGAGGGAACAAATAGCGTATGAATCAACAGTTGTTCACCGTCCATCATGGGATCGCATCTCCTGACATTGCTCCGCTGCCTTATGGATCAGTCATTTAGGTCGAAGGCTTTGGGTGTGTCCCCCACAGAAAACCGCTTGTATCGGTGTGGGCACTCGAGCAGTATCCCAGCCCACACACAAATCAAGGGAGTTGTGTGTGGCGCATATATATATTCGGTGCCCTTGGTACCAATATTTATGTGTTCAAATAAAATAAATAAATAAAATCTGGTTCAAGCTTCTTCAATGAAATAACTGATTATTCTAAGCATAATTCTTATATATAATCTTATTTATCCTACATGATTGTTAAGTTATTTTTTAAAACATTTTCATGATGATGTCGATTATTAGTAATTTTATGTCGAAACTCATTAGATTGTGGTGACATTTTTTTGTACGAAATCTAATTGATTATCGGTTTTTAAATAATTCAATTTAGTTCAAGAACAATTTGAGATAAATATGCAGTTAATCTTTGTAAATGGATTTTATTTTAGTCAAGAATTTGTCATATTGGGATTTTGATTGAGATCACGAACCGATGACCGTTTCGTTCTATTGTGGGACTCCTCAGCAGTGCGCATCCACGATCCTACTCGTAAGATTCCAGCCCAGGGCCTTCAGTCTCGCTCGCGAACGCTTAACCATCAGACCACTCAGCTGGGCGGCATCTAAGCGTGTTCATGTCTAATTTTTAACTAATCCACGAAATTGCGTGACCATCTTCTACCCGACATGGATTAGACCCGCTGGTCACGGCTTCCAGGTTTCCAACGGTGACCTAACATCTATCGGTTTATGATCTCAATCAAAAAATATTCAAAATAGTTTGAATAATTACAGCAATTTAATAATATATGTAATTTGCAAATCAGGTAAACTGAGCTTACACGTTCTATATAAGATTAAACTCATGTCTACAGTTTCACTACTAGCCATAATTCGAAATTTCGTATTATTTAGTAAATTTTCTTGTTACATTTGCAAAAACGGTCCAGTTAACTTCATAATTATGAAATTCACTATTTGTCGTTAAGACGCTTTTTTTCACTTTTTTTTCTAATCACGTACTCTATGTTATCTGTATCCGATTACTAGTGTGTTTTTTTATGTCGAAGGTCATGACAGTGAAGCAAAGTGTTTTATGACATTAAAATAATTGAAGTTAATAACAATGACTTTCATTAATTTATAATTATAACCAGTTAAAGATGAGTAACGTAATGATTCAGTAGAGATTGAATTTTAACTATACAATTTATATGAATCATATGTGAACTAAGTAAATACAGGCAATAAGAGTTCAATCATCCTTTATACACTCATGCAATAAAATAAATACAAACCTTGATTTTTCTTTGAGAAAACTATTACTAATGTAATTCTCGTTTATAAAGGTTGTTTACAAACGAACTTAAGAACGATTGGAACGAAATAACATTAAAATATAATGTAACCAGTAGTGAAAGAAAGAAAAATTTCATTTTTTTATTGAGATCATGAACCGATTGATGTTAGACAACCATTGAAAACTTGGAAGCACTGGACGGCCGTCTCATCTTAGTATGCGACTCCTCAGTAGTGCGCATCCACGATCCCACTCGCGGGATTCCAACCCAGGGCCTTCAGTTTCGCGCGCGAACGCTTAACCTATTGGACCACTGAGCAGGCATCCAATGATGTTAGTGTCTAACATCAACCGATCCACGAAGTTGCACGACCACCTTCCATTGTACTGAGGAAGACACCTGTTTCTATCCGACACGGATTAGCTCCACTGGTTACGGTTTCTCACGGGAACTCCGAGAATTTTCTCCACAACCTCTAAAGTGATAATTACCATGTGCTTACTAGTGACTAACTTCGTGAGAAAATAGGACGAAACGGCCGTCCAGTGCTTCCAGGTTTCCAATGGTGGTCTAACATCAATCGGTTCATGACCTCAATAAAAAAACGTAACAATCTCCATAACCTCTAAACTGAAAAATTTCATTGTTAGTGATAGTAATCCTAGTCTTATGTTTTGGTATTGAAAAGTGAGATTGAAAATTCAAAACTTAAAATTGGACAATAGGATTTTCAGATATTTATCCTTTTTGATGGTAGCTTCATAACAAATGAAGTGTATGACTTAAACCAAGCGGCATAGGACATTGATGCTACGCTTTACTATTTACTAAAAAAAACAAGTTATATATTTAAAGATTAACAACTTGTTAAAAATTATTATAACACAGTTCGATTTTATGAAGCGTGACAATTCTGCTGTAACATACCGAGAACGAAGAGACATCTTAAAACAAACATTCACTGTGAGACTACTATTGATGACTATAGAATATTTTAACAGGAGTTAATGCTAAGACGAAGTCAAAAGTGTTCGTTTTTTTATTGTGATTAGATGATTTTTTAATGGATCAGGTAAAGCTTAAAATATGTATATGCATGTATGTTATTCGCCTTTGAAATGACTGTTCATATTTCAATGCAATGTTTAGGAAAATATCACTGAAGATTTGTCATTTCTATGCCTTTATTAAAACAGAACTAAACTCTGTCGGACCGAGAAACTCTGGTCCAGCTGGAATCTTTCAAGTAGTTGGGCAGCATCATCATGGATGATCCATTGCAGAAGTAAAGGCGAGGATTGACAAAGCAATGGCCACATTGTCATAATTGAAGAAGATATGGAGCTCTAAGCAACTATCGACCAATATCAAAATGAGAATCTTCAATACGAATGTCAAGATAGTTCGAGTGTATGGAGCTGAAACTTGGAGAACTACCACAACCATCGTCAAAAGAGTACAGGTATTTATAAACAATTGTCTACGCAAGATACTCAATGTCCGCTGTTCAGATGCCATCAGCAACGGCCTACTGTGGGAGAGAACAAACCAACTTCTGTCTGAAGAAGACACTAGGAAAAGACGTTGGAAGTGGATAGGACATACATTGTGGAAATCATTAACCTGCATCATGAGGCATGCGCAAACGTGTAGTCGTGAAGGGAAACAGAAAAGAGAAAGACCAAATACACTGCGTTGGTAATTGGAAGCAGACATGAAAAGGACGAATAGCAACTGTGAAGAACTGGAAAGGATTGTCCAGGACAGAGTTGGATGGAAAATGCTGATGTTCGACCTGTAATCCACCATTAGGGGTAACATGCGGTAGTAAGTATGTAGAGAACATAAATTTATTTATTTGAACACAAACATTGGTACCAAGGGCACCGAATATATATATGCGCCACACACAAGTCCCTTGATTTGTGTGTGGGCTGGGATACTGCTCGAGTGCCCACACCGATACAAGCGGTTTTCTGTGGGGGACACACCCAAAGCCTTCGACCTAAATGACTGATCCATAAGGCAGCGGAGCAATGTCAGGAGATGCGATCCCATGATGGACGGTGAACAACTGTTGATTCATACGCTATTTGTTCCCTCAGGATCCTGGAGCCCATGTGAACCATTAGTTTAGAAAGAGGGATTTCCAACTCCATTAGGTGGTTATTCAGTGTCCACCAACCCTGTTAAAGAGTCAGACAATCGCTTTGTGTCCTCTCAATTTCGTAAACAAAAGTAATGCTCTGAGAAAGCAATGAGTATGACGTGTCTGGAAGTGGTTGTATACGCGTGGCTATGTGAGAGTATTCGAAGAGGTAGAGCTAACTCTCCTCATCCTCGTCCATACCAGAGCATTTGGAGGCCAGGGGAAACGTTAGAATTACTTAAATTTGAATATAATTCTTACATAGAATTTTTTTTCTACATGTATGGTGCTTAATTTCTATCAAATTGTTTTGTTCGAACTTTGATGAATCTATTCATATAAAGTATTATACAATTGAATTAAATTATTAATTGAAATGCACACATATCATAATTACCGATTATTTAATCTACGTTGTTTAAAACAAAATATCTGTCGTAGAATAGATAATATGCCTTATCATATGGACTTACTAGATAATGTGACCAATTTATTTATTTAATTTAGTATTTTTATGATTGTTTATTGTCTGTTTCGTACCATATAAATCTCGTGTGTTGCTAATCATAATAATCATAACTGCCCTTCAAAAATGAACGCTATAAATTGAATCTTTTAAACGTTTAACATACTGTTTAAAAGTCAATAAAGTAATCATTCAATGACTTACTTAAAAGTATACAAATATACGCTGTTCAAGATTATTATACCTGTCAGTGTTTGTTGATAGTTAGGGACATTAAGAATACGACAAAGAAGTATATACAATGAGTTGAAGCAGCAAAACTACCATCGTAGGTTTGGCTATTCCCATAGCCAAGTGCATGAAAGTCATGGTCATGTGTTCATGGTGATTTTTCTGGATCAATAAATGATCAGAACATCTTAATCATCGTCAAGTTGTTTACAAAATAGCTCGAAATTTTCTTAACGCATCAATAATCATGGTTCTGAATTTGAGTTTCTGGAAACGCCCCTTATGGAAAACGGGCCTCAGTTGACATTTGAAATCTTGAATTCGTTTGCACACAATCGATCACTCTATGACCCTCAGTCAAAAGGCCACCTTAAGAATTTCGTTAATGCACTGAAACAAGTTCTCATCATAACATAAGGGGACGACATGATGAAGGAAGC